GAGATTCTAATAACAATCCTAGATGATCACAGAAAGGAAAGTTGCCTGGTAGTCTTAAATAATCCTGGAAGAGGGTGGAAGAATTTTTTTGTAAACTTTAGAACCTTGTTTAAAGGTTCCCACATCAACATCTGTCAAGTGTGCTGCAGAAGATGCTTGGGTATCCCCATTCCATTCAGAGAGGAAGGCTGGCCCCCTTTCACTCTGTGAAACTAAACATTGCAGCCGGCAAACAGTCTTTCCAATAAATCTGCCCATTATTCTTTTTCTCATTAAAGAACAGGGCTCCCTGGTACACAACTTGAAATTAAATTGTGTGATTTTGCTGCTGTCTGCACTGAAATTCACAAAAAGGATTAATTGGAGCTTAATATAGCAGAAGAAAGAAAGCACTTTACATTCTCAGCAAATATGTTAGTAACTAGCCTGCTACATGGTGCTAAATCTGGGCAAAAACAAAGCTGAATCTTTCTTAGGACAATATACATACCATTAAACTATGATGTTTAACCAAATCAAGTTATTCCATCCCATTTTCTGTTTACAAATTGTGGCTTTTATATTTGTTATGTGAGAAACAACAATGCTTAGAATACTTTTTTCCATTTATGCATAATCATGTTGATAAAATGAAGCCACTCTGTAGCAGAATATGCATTCTCCCGCTATCCAAAATTTTGTAATATATTTCGTTATATACAAGACAACTCACAGCAATTAAAGCTGCCAGTCAGGTGTGTGATTTTAAGGTGCTCTGTGAGCTCTTAACTTGAATGACTTGTCAAGGAAAGGGGTGTGAGAAATTAAACAAATATAATAACCTGGAATTACTGTTATTTTCAACAATTAATAAACAATATTTTAAAAACATTGTCTCAAAGAAATACTGTACAGGGAATGATCCTTCCTAAGCATGCCAAATATCCTCTTTTCTTGTCTGGATCTCAGAAGAAAAAAATTCATGAACAGCAGAGATCTGGCAAACATGTACTTTGTTGACAAGGCAAATGACTTAAAACACCAGCTCAGCTATAGTTTTACCCTGTAGCAATGGGCAAGCCGCTCCCTTCACAAGAATTCTCCATTTCAATACATAATTAAAAACAGTTCACAATATTCCTTCCCAGCATTATACATACATTATACGTACCATACATTTAAAGCACATCTCACCTCTCCTGGGAACAGAGCTTCAATTCCCGGTATATTTGCAAATTACAGTTCCCATGGTTCTTTGCAATGGGATGTGCTTTTAAATGTATAGTGTTTATGCAGCCTCTATCACATTTTTGTGTGACCAAGAAACAAAACCCAAGTTAATATTATGAAGACAGGAACAAATCTGAATCTTAATGGCCGGAGCTAGCAAGAATGGGTTTGTCTCCAGTCCTATAGAAATGGTTTCTATTCACTACTATGAAGGACAAATAATTGAACATTAAATGTGTACACAGGCCCTTGCATCTGTTCCTGAATTTTTAAATTTCACTGCTTGAGTTGCTCTGTGCCTGCTGCACTTTAATCTTTAGTTTGAGTTCAGAGCCATAAATCAAAGTTGTGTTCCATGTTCAGTTTAATGGGGAATCTAAAAATGGCTGCAACTTTTTTAATGACCTTTCATTAAATGTTCAGAACATCACCAAACTAATGAAAGATAGCCTTCAATGAAAAGCCGGAATAAAGTACTGTCAGAGCTGGCTCCAGGTCCCAGCTCACAGAGGACCAACGCTAGCCGGCAGTAATGTACAAAAGTCTTTATTGAAGTACAGTTTCCATTTTCAAGCCGCAGCGCCCCAGCTCTACGTCTAGGGGTTAGATCGGCGAAGCTCCATCTGAGTCTCCGCCCCCTGTACACCAGTTTAAGATTCTAGCCTTACCCACCTCTTACGTCTCTCCTTTCTCCTCTGGGTCCTGCTACCCCCCGGGGTCCCTTCCTTCCTGGATTCTTCTGACGCTGACCCCCCTGACTCCCCCCCTCTTTTCGGCGGGCTTTGGGACCTGGCTCCCTATCCGGGCTGCCAACTGCGCCGCCCTCCTGTACATTTGAACTTGGCGCGCGCGCCCAGCCTTCAACCTTCCTCTCGACCGTTTCCTCGCTCCCCGATGGAGGCGTGGCCAATCCTGACTCATGTCCTCCCACTGGCAGTGCGCCGCCTGATCCCGATGCCTGGGACCCCTCCCCCCTACTGCACTCTGGTGTGGACGCTGGTCCTGATTTCCAACTGCTGCTCTCTGAGTCCCCTCTGGCCCCTTCTTCCTGGGGTGTCCCCCTCGTCACCCCCCGTGCTCTGACCAAGGGAGGCCCTTTCTGTGAATCTTCCGATTCGCTGGAAAGACTCAGAGACCTCGGACCGCTGTCATCGCTAACATTTCCTTCGGACTCCTCCCCCTCGCTCTCTATTTCCTCCCTTTCCTGTGCCTCTGCTCCTGAACCCCTGACAAGTACGTTCATAATGTTCAATGACATGCGAAAGAATTATATTAGATGGGGTGGGGGAGAGGAGGCAGAATGGAGTACAAATTAAATATGTCAGTTTTCCGCACTTTCTCAAGTTGCTATACATCTGGCATCTTTTATCAGGTTGTTTTGAAATTTGGAACATTTACAGAACTCAACAGCTGTCCTTTCAGTATATGATTTTGAGGTCTAGAATTCTGAAAGATTTCCATCCCACCTTGCCTAAGCTTAATATATTTGATATATTAAAAATATTTCCTTTGCCGCTTCCATAACCACCACTTTTCATGGGTGGCTTTTACCCATCACCTAGAAGCAGGGTCTCAATGGGCACCTCAAGGCTCCTTTAATGTTACAAAGATGCAAGCACTTAGGTCCTACTTAGCTGACGAGAAACCCCGACAATGCTTTTGTGGAAGCCCGTTTAAATGCAAACAAGCACAAATTGTTCAGCAAATGGCTGTACTGGGAACCAGACCCCCTCCTTACGATGAAATCAGGATGCAAGAAGAACAATTTTATTACCCTGAACCAATGGGACACACCCTGCCAGGAGTGGGGCTGGGGCAGGAGCGGGAGCCATGGCAAGAGCGCGGGGCAGGAGCAGGAGTCGTGGATCCAGCCGCCCCCCAAAGGTTCCTCTGGATGAGGAAAGGGCAGTCGAACAGTGCCCACCCAGACCTATTGTCTGCTTGGAAACAAGTAATGAACCTACCCAATTCTAAAGACTCTGCTAAAAGTGACTGAGTGAGTGAAGAAGAAGAAGAAGAGGGAAAGGAAATAAATATTAATTGCTAAAGTTTCTGGATATAATCTCTGCCCAAATGCTACCTTGGGTTGAGGTTGTTGTTTGAAGAGGCAGCTAAAGATGCGGTTGTTGTGATTTCCCCCCTGCACGGAGTGCACCAGGTATTAAAGAAGAATACAGGTTTTGTAGGGATGGTGAATATTGGACAATGTGTGGAAGTTTATTTGAAGGTTTTGTTAGAAGGAAAGGTGGGAAGTAAAATGTGTTATGATGTTGAGGAGGAACCAGGGGAGGCTTGCATAGAGGGGGGGTATGGATGGACTCTTCAAGGGGAGGAGGTAGAGGAAAGATGAGGAGAAGGGGGCAGTGGGTCATTTAACCCAGATCAATGAAGTAAATGAAGGGGGCATGATCGGTTTAGCAAGCATGACAAATATAGATGCATATGAAATTCCTATTATAGGAGCTATAGGTAATCAATTTGTCAAACCCTTCCATATTCCTTATTCCTTATTCAAGTGAAGTGGGGGGTGGGTTCAAATTACTTTTACTCCTAAAGGAGCAATCTTGCAATTTTCCCAGCAGCAGAGAGGCATTTTAATTCTATAGGCAGTGCTGGCTGAATTGGATTCTAGTAACATAACAGAAGTAGAAAACAGCGCCCTACCTGGAGTCTGAGCAGAAGGCAACTCTCCTGGCTTTGCTGTGAATACAATTTTGGAATTGCAGGATATCTGTTTCTAAGCAATTCTAATCAAAATTTGTATGAGCAGGATATCTGTTGCTAAGCAAAAACAAAGATTTGCCAGACTAAGATTAAATACCTTGGCTTTAACTTTTCCTCCACCAGAGGGAGCTGAAAACAGAACGCAAGGAAACTATCTGACTGATTTTATTATTATTATTATTATTATTATTATTATTTTTTTGCAGGATGTGGATCACAGACTATGGGACTATATCTGCTCCTCTTTATGATCCTTTTGAAAGGGGACCAGATCAAAGAGCTGCGTTTAATCAGCTAAAAATTAAACTGATGTCTGCACCAGCTCTAGGGCTCCCCAACCCAGACAAGTTCATAAGTACCACCACAACAGGGGTGGTACTTTGCTGGGAAGTTGGAGGAGGCCTGCAGCATACCTTTACAGACAATTGGATTTAGTGGCAAAAGAGTGTCAAATCTTTGCCTAAGGCAGTAGCAGCAACAAGCAGATAAATTGACTTTTGGACAAATCAATGTGCCAAATTTTGCATCAACTTTGATGGATAAGGGTGGCTACTGGCTTATTAATAAAATCCCTAGAATAAAGTTACAAGTTGTAAATATTCTTAATTTGGCCACCCTCCTCTAGATGCAAATATGGAGGAGCAAGGTTAACAGGTTACGGACAAGGTTCACTCTAGCAGGCTAGACTTGAAAGATGAACCTCTGGTAACAGATATGAGCTAGAAGGGGAAAGAGAAAGAGAAAGAGAGAGAGAGAGAGAGAGAGAGAGAGAGAGAGAGATATGCTGGATATGCAGTGGTCATTTTGTGGGGACAGTAGAGGTTGAGCTTTTCCCTATCAGGACAAAAGGGTGAAATTATTGCCCTAACCAGAGCTTTGCAGTTGTCCACAGGATGTAAAACTGATATCTACATGGATTAAAATAAAATACATGTGTCAGGGTGTCAGAGCTGCTTCCAGATCCTAGCTCACAGAGGATCACGCTAGCCAGCGATCATTAAACAAAAGTCTTTATTGAGTTACAGTTTCCATTCTCAAACTGCTGCGTGCAACTCTACGTCTCATGGTTAGACCGGCGAAGCTCCGTCTGAGTCTCCGCCCCTTGTACACCAACTTAATATCCTAGCCCTGCTCCACCTTTTCCGCCTGACTGTTCTTCTCTGGGTCCCTCTGCCCCCTGGGGTCTCTTCTTTCCGGGATTCCTCTGACGCTGACGCTGACCCCCCTGACTCTTCTCCCTCCTTTCGGCGGGCTTTAGGACCTGGCTCCCTTTCCGGGCTGCCTACTGTGCCACCTTCCTGTGCATTTGAACTTGGCGCGCGCGCCCAACCTTCCACCTTCCGTCTGACCGTTTCTTCGCTCCCCGATGGAGGTGTGGCCACTCCTGACTCGTGCCCTCCCCCCTGTTGTGAGCTGCCAGCGCTTGATCCCTGGCTCCCTTCCTCTTCCCTGCTCTCTGGCGGTGACGCTGGTCCCGATTTCCAACTGCTCCCCTCTGAGTCCCCTCTGGCTCTATCTTCCTGGGGCGTCCCCCTAGGCTCCCCCCTTGCCCTGGCCACTGGTGCTCCTTTCTGTGAATCTTCTGATTCACTGGAAAGACTCGGAGATCTCGGGTCGTCGTCATCACTCATCTTTTCTTCTGCCTCCTCCCCCTCGCTCTCTGTTTCCTCCCTTGCCCTTGCCTCTGCTCCTGAACCCCTGACATCCATCCCCCCCTCGAAGCCCCCTCTTCCCCCTCCCCTCCTTCCGGTGCGGGATCTGGGTGCTGCCGTGTCAGGGGGACGAATGTCGGATACAGTTCGCTTCCCGTGGCGGGCCGCCATCTGAAGTCTTCCGGTTCTTCCTCCCTGCTCTCGTTGACGACGGTCACCTCCGCTTCCATCTCTGTGCCGCCGTGCTCGAAACCCGGGTCGTCCCGAAGCGTCCATGTCCGTCTCTCCCTCGTTACCTTCTGGAGACGTTGCTCGTCCTGGACCCTCCAGCCACCTTCTGCGGAACTGCTCCTCTGGTCGATCATCCCACCAATACGAGGGTTCTGAAGCAGATCCCGAGGGTGACCCCTCCGGGAACGGGCGTCTCGTGTCGGTTCCTCGTCCGAGTCGAACCCCGGAGCGTGCTGGCTGAAAGCGTGGGCGTGAAAAGCCAGTCGTCGAAAAAGTCTGCTGGCATTGGCCTATGTGGGAAGAGGGCATGAAACTCTTCTTTGAGCAGAGGTTCGTCTAAAGCGTAGCCCGGCACCCAGCTGTTGGCACTGGCCGGGGTGCCCTCCTTGGCGAGAAGGTATTCTACCCCCTCTTCCCCCATCTGGAGTCCAAAATCTCCGTGGCTTCGTTGATGCGCTCCTCCCGTGCCACTCCCCCCTGCCCGGTTCTCTCTCGGAGCGGACCCGGTGCCGTTCCTGGTTCCTGAAACCTGTGAGGTGCCTTGTATGGAGTGAGCACCGATCTGTGGAACACCGGATGCATCCTGGAACCCTCCGGAAGAGCCAGCCTGAAAGCCACCGGGTTGACCTGTTCTTCGACTTGGTAGGGCCCCAGTTGTTTATGCCCTAGTTTCTTCTTCGCCAACGACCTGGCCGGCACTGCGTGGGCTGCTAACCAGACCCAGTCTCCCACATGGATCTCTTCGCCAACCCTTCTGTGTTTGTCCGCTTGTACCTTGTATGCGTGTTTAGCCAGCTCCAGGTGCCGCCGCAGCTGATCGTGGACCTCCTGCAACTCCGACGCGAATGCATCTGCTGTCTGCGGCTCCCCCTCCCCCATTCTTTCCAGTCCCGGGAAGGTTCTGGGGTGCCTCCCGTTGTTGGCGAAGAACGGCGTGACCCCCGTGGACACGTGCTTCGTGTTGTTGTAGGCGAACTCGGCGAGAGGCAGGTAATCCACCCACGTCGCAGGCTGTTGATTCGCATAACATCTCAGGTACTGCTGCATGATGGCATTGACCCGCTCCGCTTGCCCATTGGTCTGCGGGTGTCTAGCCGACGCCAGGTTGATCTTGACGTTCAGGAAGCCCATCAGCCTCTGCCAGAAGTTCGAGATGAACTGTCGCCCTCGGTCGGACAGAATAGACCGCGGCAGACCGTGAACCTTGAACACGTGGTCTATGAACAGTTTGGCTGTTTGTTCCGCCGTGGCCACCTTCGCACACGGAATGAAATGTGCCATCTTGGAGAACAAGTCCACCACCACCAGCACAGCCGTCTTGCCCCTCGAGCTGGGCAGATCCGTGACAAAGTCCAGGGCCACTCTCTCCCATGGTTCGAACGGAGTTTGCAGCGGTTCCAGCAATCCGGCCGGCGGTCTGTGCACTGGTTTGGCCCTCTGGCAGGTGTCACACCTCGCCACGTAGTCCGCGACTTCCCCTCTCATTCCTGGCCACCAGAAGTCTCTGGCTACTAATTCCACCGTCTTCTCCTTGCCAAAGTGCCCGGCAGTGGGCGCGTCGTGCAGCTGCTGCAGTACCTTGGCGCGAAGTTCGTCTCCCGGCACGTAGATGGCCCCTTTACGGATGAGCAAACCATCTCGCAGCTGGAACTCGTCGGTCGCTGCCGTGCCCCTGTGCGCCTCTGCCATCTTTGCTTGCGCGAAGGAGTCATCCTGCAACGCTCGTCGCACCGCCTCCAGGTCAACTGTTGCCGCCGTGCACGCCCACACTGTCGGTGCGAAGATGTGCATGGCGGCCGCTGGCGTTGCCTCCTCCAGATACTGCGGCTTACGGGAGAGAGCATCCGCCATGATGTTGGTGTCCCCGGGACATACTCTATTCGGAAGTCGAAATTCGCAAAGAACTCAGCCCAACGTATCTGCCTCTGGTTCAGGAACTGTGCCGTGCGCCAGTGCTCTAGATTCTTGTGGTCCGTGCAGACCTGCACCGTGTGCTTGGCGCCGATCAGGAAGTGCCTCCACGCTTTGAACGCTGCATGAATGGCCAGCAACTCCCTGTCCCAGATGGTGTAGTTCTGTTCGGACTTGCTGAGCTTCCTTGAGTAAAACGCTCCCGGCCTCCAAACCCCCTGCGGGTCCTTCTGCAGCAGGACTGCTCCCACGGCTCTGTCCGAAGCGTCTGTCTCCACCCTCATCGGCTTGCTGGGGTTGACATGAAGCAGTTGCCCTTCCGACGCGAAGAGAGCCGTGAGTGCCTGAAAGGACTGCTCCGCCTGCTCTGTCCAGATGAACTTCTTTTTCTTGGAGCTGAGCGTGTCCGTGATGGCCGCTGTCTGCATGGCAAAGCCTTTGATAAACTTGCGATAGAAGTTCGCAAAGCCGACAAACCGTTGGACCTCCTTCCGGTTGCGTGGGCTTTTCCAATCCAACACTGCTCGGACCTTGGCGCTGTCCATGGCGAGCCCTTTATCAGACAACTTGTAGCCCAGGAAATCCACCTCCGTCACGTCGAATTGGCACTTCTCCAGCTTGGCGTAAAGCCTATGTTGCTGTAGCCTGCTCAGCACTTCCTTGACGTGTCTGTCATGCTCCTGCTGCGATTCCGAAAAGATCAGGATGTCATCCAAGAAACAGACGCACGTCTTGTAGAGGAGCCCCGCCAACACGTGATGCATGAAAGCTTGAAAAACGTGGGAACCATTTTGCAATCCAAAAGGCATAACTCTATATTCGTAGGTGCCCAGGGCGTGAACATGGCTGTCTTCCACTCATCTCCTTCCCGCATGCGAATGAGGTTGTACGCCCCTCGCAGGTCCAACTTAGTGAACACGCTGCCCTTCCGTACCTTTGCGAGGAGGTCGTCGATTCGGGGCATGGGGAAGTCCGATGGCTTGGTCACGCTGTTCAAAATGCGATAGTCCACTACAAGTCTTTTCTGGGGCGTGTCCCGCTTCTTAACAAAGAATACCGGACTGCCCCCCGCTGCCTTGGACTCTCGGATGAAACCGCGCTCCAAATTATGATCTATGAACTCTTTGAGTTCCTGCAGTTCGTCCTCAGACATGGAATACAGCTTCCCTTTGGGCAGCGCCGCCCCGGCAGCAGGTCAATTTTGCAGTCATATGGTCTGTGGGGGGGTAGCCTGTCTGCCTCCTTCTCGCAGAAAACCTCCAAAAATTCTGCGTACTTGTGGGGAACCGCTTGCAGCGTGCCTAGCTGCAGCTGTGACTCCTCTTCCTCTCCTTCCTGCCGGGGCACGATGCAGTGTTCAGCGCAAAAGGAAGAGCCGAAGGTCAGCTGCCTCTGGTACCAAGCCAGCGTCGGGCTGTGCTTGTCCAGCCAACTCATGCCCAATACAATGGGCGTGTCCGATAGTTGAGTGACATTGAAGCTGATGATTTCCCTGTGATTCCCAAGCCGCATCACCATTGGTGGCGTCTGCTTCACCACTTGCCCCCCTAGCAGCTCCCTGCCATCCACCGTGACAACCTGCAGGGGCAGCGTGGCAGGCAGCAACTGTATAGCGTGCCGGTCGACAAAGTCCTGCCCTATAAAGTCCGCATTGCTTCCGGAGTCAATGGTGATTGGCACGTCCATGGTGATTCCATTGGGCAGCTGGAGCGACGCGGTGAGCCTCACTACTGGTTTGGGCGGGAGGGGGTCCATGGGCTGTAAAATCTCTGGGGACTGCTTCACTGACACGTCTGGCTGGGCCCCAGTGCCTCTTCCTCCAACCAGACTCCGTCGTTTCCCTGCTGTGGTTCTCCTTGCTGCGTTGCTGCAGTTACCATTGCTGAAGCTGCAGTGTGCTTGTGGAGCCTCTGGGGACACTCTTTCGCCATATGCTGTGGAGCATCGCAGATGTAACACTTCCTGTTCCCTCTAGGAGGCTTCGCTTTCACTGCTGCCGGTGCTAGGGCTCTGGCTGCTGACTGAGCCCTTGCACCTCCAACCTCCATAGGTTCCGCTCCTCCTCCTGGCGGAGGCGTGGATTGCGCACGCGCTGCTTCTCTGGGAAGGAAGGAGGAGCCCCTGGCTGGTTCGCGCCCTCCACGCCCTTCGTCCCTGCTCCACGGACGTTCTTCCAGCCGCACCCCCACCGCCAGCGCCCTCTGAACGATCTCCTGCGTGGTCCGGGGTCTCTCCCCCCTCGCAATTTCATCTTTAACCGAGCCGTGCAATCCCTCCCAAAACAGGTCTCTTACAGGAGCCGAATCTCTGTCCCATTCCAGAGCACTGACCAAAGCGAAAAGCGGGCATGGTACTGCCTTACGCTGGCCCTCCCTTGCTTCAGTCCATGTATCTGCTGCCGAGCAAGATCCACGTCAATGCTTGATAAAAAGCACCCATCCATCGCTTTAATAAAGGCATCCGCATTTTGGAGCGCCGGATCCATATCTCTCCACAAATTGCGCAGCCATGCTTTAGCATCTCCATGCAAATGGGACATGATGAATCCCACCTTCTCTTGCTCATCTCTAAAGTCTTTGTCCAGCAGTTGCAGTGCACACATTACATCTGCTCTAAAGTTGGGGTACTGTTGCAAATTCCCATCGAAGTGAGAGACCAGACCGCCTGTTCGTCTCCCCAACCCAATCCCCTCCGGTTTGGGTGTCAGTTGCCCTTGCTTCGTAAGCACTTCCAACCTGACCTGGAGATCCCTGTAGGCGGCAGCTGCGTCCTCCTCTCTCTTCCTGGATGCAAGAGCCTCGGCATTCAGTCGTGACACTGCTTCTCTGAGTTCCGCTATCTGCTGTTCGGCCGTCATATTGTCTGCCTTTCGTGAGCTCGCTAGTAGGCACCCGCTTTCTCTCCTCTCCGCGAGGCTGTAGATGCCCACAATTTTATGGAGACGGAGCTTACTGTCAGAGCTGCTTCCAGATCCTAGCTCACAGAGGATCACGCTAGCCAGCGATCATTAAACAAAAGTCTTTATTGAGTTACAGTTTCCATTCTCAAACTGCTGCGTGCAACTCTACGTCTCATGGTTAGACCGGCGAAGCTCCGTCTGAGTCTCCGCCCCTTGTACACCAACTTAATATCCTAGCCCTGCTCCACCTTTTCCGCCTGACTGTTCTTCTCTGGGTCCCTCTGCCCCCTGGGGTCTCTTCTTTCCGGGATTCCTCTGACGCTGACGCTGACCCCCCTGACTCTTCTCCCTCCTTTCGGCGGGCTTTAGGACCTGGCTCCCTTTCCGGGCTGCCTACTGTGCCACCTTCCTGTGCATTTGAACTTGGCGCGCGCGCCCAACCTTCCACCTTCCGTCTGACCGTTTCTTCGCTCCCCGATGGAGGTGTGGCCACTCCTGACTCGTGCCCTCCCCCCTGTTGTGAGCTGCCAGCGCTTGATCCCTGGCTCCCTTCCTCTTCCCTGCTCTCTGGCGGTGACGCTGGTCCCGATTTCCAACTGCTCCCCTCTGAGTCCCCTCTGGCTCTATCTTCCTGGGGCGTCCCCCTAGGCTCCCCCCTTGCCCTGGCCACTGGTGCTCCTTTCTGTGAATCTTCTGATTCACTGGAAAGACTCGGAGATCTCGGGTCGTCGTCATCACTCATCTTTTCTTCTGCCTCCTCCCCCTCGCTCTCTGTTTCCTCCCTTGCCCTTGCCTCTGCTCCTGAACCCCTGACACAGGGGTTCAGGGACAGAGGCACAGGGTAGGGAGGAGATGGAGAGCGATGGGGATGAATCCCAGGACAGCGAGGAAGAGGATGACAATGACTCAAGAGATTCCATGAGTCTTTCCAGCGAATCAGAGGATTCCCAGAAGGGGTGCCAGTGGTCAAGGCCAGGGAGCCCCAGGGGGACATGTCAGGAACAGGGGCCAGCGGGGATCCCAAAGTGGCAGCTGGGCGTCAGGACCAGCCTCCCCGCCAGAGCGCAGCAAAGGGGGTGGAGGTTCCAGTGTATCAGGGGAAGCAGCTCCGGCAGCAGAGAAGGGAGGGAGGTCGGAGCAAGCCACCCTCCCGGAAGGGGAGGGGAGTAGTGAAGGGAGTAGTGTAACTGTCAAAAGGAAAGTTAGAGGTTGGGCGCGCGCGCCACGTTCAAATGTAGAGGCGCGCGGAAGTACAGGGAGCCCGGAGGAAGAGCCAGGTCCTAAAGCCCGCAGGAGGGGAGGAGCAGTCGGGGGATAGCGCGTCAGGGGAATCCAGGAGGGCGAAACCCCAGCGGGCAGGAAGACCCTGAGGAAAGGGAAAGAGAGAAAGAGGTGGAGCAGCGCAAGGCTCTTAAACTGGTGCAGGGGAGGGACTGACTCAGAGGGGACTTCAACGGTCTAAGCGTACAGACGTGGGGCTGCGCGCCTCGGATATGAAGCAAACAATGAACTGCAATAAACACTTTTGTATATAAGAAGAGATTGGCGTTGGTCTTTTGTGAGCTGAGACCTGAGGCAGCCTTGACAACATGGATACATGGATAACAAATAAAATAAAATAAATGCTTTTACATTACATATACATGGGGATTTGTGGAACGAAAGAGGACTTTTAACAGCTACAGGAGAGGTGGTTGTGAAATAAATGAATAAAATGAATTTTATTCTTAAGGAAGAAATAGTAAAAATGACCATGCCTGCCTTAAGACACCAAGGTTCTGTGAACAAAGAGGGTCACAAAGGAGGGGTCCCTTCACAGAACTGTTTGCACAAGAATGTTTTACAAAACAGTCTAACATCTTTTTTGGGCAATTCCAATCCTATTATTCCAAGTAGAAAGGCTACTGGTTTCTTAATAAATGTATTTTTCAACAATTATTTGAACTCATTATAAATCTTTTCCCAGAAGTCTTTCACCTTAGGTCACGTCCACCACATATGATAAAAACTCCCTTTCTTTGCATTTCCAACATAAATTGTCATTTGTATTGTAGATCTTTGCTAATTTCACTGGGGTTAAGTACCATCTATACATCATTTTCATATTTTCTTTTAATACAGTACATGCAGTAAACTTAACCCCTTTCTTCCATAGCCTTTCCCAATCTTCCAACATTATATTGTGTCCAACATGTCTTGCCCAATCAATCATCACAGATTTAACTTGTTCATCCTTTGTATGCCATTCCAATAGTAAATTATACATTTTAGAGAGATTTTTCACATCGGTACTAACAATTCCGTTTCCAATTTGGATTTTTCTGTTGCAAAACCATTTTTCTTATCAAGTTTATCCAATTCATTGATCTGATAATATTGATCTGATCCAATTTATATTTAATTTGGTCAAATGGTCTCAATTTAAATCCTTCATTATCTTCCAACAATAAATCAGTATATTTCAACCATTTACTCTCCATATTTAACTTTTTGTGTGCCTTTGCTTCCATTGGTGTTCTCCTTTCTAAGAGATATTTATATCTTATCCAAACATTATATAATGATTTTCTAATTACATGATTTTTAAAACTTTTATCATACCATAAATATGCATGCCAACCAAATACATTGTCAAATCCTTCCAAATCTAACACATCAGCATTGTCTAGTTGAATCCAATCCTTGACCCAGCAGAAAGCCACAGCTTTAAAATATATCTTCAAATCTGGCAGGGAACCCCCCCCCTTTTGAATCTGTTAGTATTTTATATTTAATTCTGGGTCCCGTCCCCCCCGCCAGAAAAAATTAGACAATGCTTTCTGCCATTCTTTAAAACATCTTACATTATCATTAAGAACAGTTTCAGGTTAAGAACCGACCTCCGGAACGAATTAAGTACATAATCAGATGTATCACTGTATTGGGTGTGTTTTTCTAGTCGCAACTATATGGACCATTTTAACTTAATAATAAAGTCCATTTTAACTTAATAAAGAAGTATGTTGTTATTTCATGAAATAACATTATTTCATGAAATGTAAATGGTTTGATGGAGAGGGGCAGAAAGAGAGAGAGAGAGAAGGAATGAAGGAACAAAGAGAGAAGGAAGGAAGGAAGGAAGGAAGGAAGGGTAGCTAAGCAGAGAGAGAGAAGGAAGGAGAGAGAGAGAAGGGAGGGAAAGAGGGAGGGAGAAGGAGGGAGGGAGAGAGAGAGAGAGAGAGGAGGAGTGAGAGAGAGAAGGAAGGAAGGAGGGACGGAAGGAAGGAAGGAAGGAAGGAAGGAAGGAGAGAGTAGTAGTAGAGAGAGAAGGAACAGGAGAGAGAGAGAGAAGGAGAGAGAGAAAGAGATAAGGAAG